GCTCTGCCCACCACGGGTATCGAAACCCGGATTCTAGCGTTGTAAGTCCGCAGACATACCGCTGTGCCACTGGGGGCCGTACATACAAACAAGCAGAATAATAGTATAGATTAATGTTTGATATAAAGGGACTTGACATTTTATAGATTTAGAAATGCGATGGAAAATTTATAAGAATTCACAGTTTTTTTGTTTCTTTCTTTTATCTTCATTTATGTTCACAATAACACACTATAGTTCGATTAGTGCTAAATGTTGTTCTCAACTACAATATAGGTATAGTAAAATTGTAACATGCGAGAAAGGAGCTTCGTTTAAGAAGTGGGAAGAAACGTTTGCTTAATTTCTCGCAAAGTTATTCGAGGGCTGTTTGGGATAGCCGTCCTTAATTTAGAAGCTATAGAACAGAGAGAAGACAGCTAGTTAACAACACCCACCGCCAACTCCTGGACTATTATAATCGAATAGTGGGACACTGACCGTCACATTATAACGCCCTCGCAGCTGAAAGGGCAATTATGTCATATTTCGAGTCAAGCGCCCTTACCACGAGGCCATGTCAGGCACGGGAATATAAGCTCTGAAATTATTATTCTAACATATCTTATTGTAAATATTTATCTTTTAGAACGATTATAAGAAAACGGATTTTTTTGCGGAACACCGCCAGCTCAATTACGACACATTAGTGTGTCGCAGCACATATTGTCGGAACAATATTCTATAACATGGCAAAAATAAACACACACACACACATATACACCTACTTTTCTGTCGTAGATAGTATTCTTGACATCGTTAGCTCCAGATTTTAAGAGGGCGCCACATATTTCCGTCAAGTTGAAGTCGTAATGTCCATTTTTATTTAATAAAAATAAATTGATTTGTATAAAGTGACCTTCATCGTCCCGAAAGCTAGTTAATTTATTTTTTTGGTCAAACGCAACTCGACAGTCTTCAAGGATGTCAAAAAACACAAGCTGGTTGAATTCTATTGACTCTCCCTTTTTTGAAATTAAATCAGCGATTTCCTTACGAATAAATTCTTTTCCGGTACAGAATTCAGACCAGTCCATTTCCAGCTTTAAGGCAATGTAAGCAAATACAAATGGAATAAAATACTGGGGACTTATCTTGATTGGTCCGGCTGCTGTTGCTACTAGTGGTTCTTCTCTTCCGTTTTTTGTTGTCATGGAAACATTCATTGGTTTTACTTGAATAGTTTCTCCAGTGCTCTTGTTGGTAGCTGTGTACTCGTAAAAGATCAAAACTTTAAAGGTAAAAAAAAAAAAAATCCGACTTATTTAGTAGTTTACGTTATATGCATTGAGTACAAAGATCTGAACTTCTAAACTGACTATGATGCTATTTACTGCCAAATAACAAAGGCACCAAACGCAAAGAATTCCAACGTCTAGACTGATTATGGTACTGCTTAATTCCAGAATTAATATGCAATAACTTAAAATAGAAGTCCAGCCTTTACAGGAATTGTGACTATACTTGTTTCTACACGTCATAACAACCAGCTCAATCTTTAGACTGACTGCGATATGACTTAGTTTTAGAAATAACAAATATATACAGTGGATATCTGATAAAAATGACATGAGATTATCACTTCTAGCATAAAGCATGAAAATGTTATAAACAAAAAGGTTTAAGACATGCTGATTTCACAACTTTAAGGAAGAAAGTTGTCAGAGCATGACCGCCTGCTGAAAATGAGGATAATGTAACTGCGATTCGATAATATATTTATATATTAAAACTGTGTAATAACTTCGGTACTGGCACATGCATATTTATGTCATATTTTATTGAAATGTGATACAAGACACTGCAATAATGAGTCAAATGCGCTTGCTCATTTCTTCTTATGTTTACGGTCTTACAACGCTAAAATCCAGGGTTCGATTCTCCGCGATGGACAGAGCCCATTGTATAGCATTGCACTAAAGCAACGATAACAACATTCCTTCTGTGAAATAAAATAAAAATTCCATGTAAAATAATGCTGTTTAAATTGTGGGAAAATCTGAGGTAAAATAGAATTTTGAAATCGTGTATAAATCAAGTTCAAATTTAGTCAATATTGAGTTAAATAACATTGTCATAATGCACTTGTACATAACGTTGTAATTGGAAATGATGTGTTTTGTTGTTTGGAACTATTTTCATTAAAAAAAAGACCATGCTTTCAATAGGAAACTGAATTTTAAGATCCCCCCGCCACACTACAAAAGAAAATGAGAGAAAAGATTAGCATTTTCAGCTAAGAGGACAATAGGATAATAAGCATTATTAAAACAGTCTGCTTTTTGACGAGAATAACTGATTTGTGCATGATAACATTGATGTAAGTCACAGAACATGGATATGAAACTATAGTTTTTGCCATCTTAATGATACCCGAACTGTATCCAATGGGACAGTTCTCTTTCTTCTTTGTTTGCAAATATTCTGATTATTTGCTAAACGTATGTGTGACAGGTTAAACAACTCCTTCAAATATAATAATGTACATAATTGGTATGTTGTCTTACCTGTTACTATATGCATTTGCCCAATTTTTCTGTGAACTTGTGCATTAGGTTTCAACAAAGGTGTTATCAAATAACTTAGTAATTTTGGATAAGTGACAAATAATAGCAACGGACGCAGACAGATGCAAAGACAAAAATAAAGTTAAATAATACACTGCTGTGGGACTTACACAGTTATACTAAAGAGGGATAGAAAAGTGACTTGGATGTTAATTCACAGATAATTACACTGGCGATTTCACTCCAAACCTATAAAGATGTTTAGAATTGACCTTTTTTTTTGTACTTCATAAAGTCTTGAAACCGACCTAAATTTACAAAAATCCTTCATAAAGGACAGTCATTTTTATTAGGGTTCCTTACTTATTTATTGTAAGATATAGGGAAAAGATTGGTTGGTTGTAATTCAGCACAAAGCTACACAATGGGCTCTCTGTGCTCTGCCCACCACGGGTATTGAAACCCGGTTTCTGGCGTTGTAAGTCCGCAGACATACCGCTGTGTCACTGGAGGAGGGGACATATAGGAAAAAATAACTTTTGTATTTTTTTAATAACAATTTCAGACATTGGTAGTTCATCATTTTATAGATTGATGTTTAAAAACTTAATAAAAGGAATAGCATCCGCCATCATTGGGCCCCATATTTCCTTAGAGGAATCCAGATGTTTTTTTAAGGAAGACGTAAAGAGGAGGTGGGCATAAATAGGCTGGGAAAATGGAAGAACTGAATGCACTGCCATCTTGGCGGGGAGAGGCAATCAAATATCCACATAATGCAACTTTAAAAAGAGGGGAAGAATACCTACCCCACCAACCTCAGGATCCGTCTATTTCAGTGAGAAACTTTTGTCTGACAACTGGCTTCCCCAAAGTTTTGAAATTAACATACCTTAAAACCTTTTTATTGTACCCAATTTCATGCTTAAAACAGGCTTTATAACAGAAAACATGCAGTGAAGAAAGTTTGACGTTTAAACCTAAAATAGACTCCAAACACAAAGAGGAGTCTAACATCTAGATAGATTACAGCAATGCTTAAAACCAAACAGAGAAGTTCAACTTCGAACCAAGTTTTTACAACTGGAATTATTCCAATACTTTTTTAATCCTTAAGTTTTTATAATTTTTTATTCTTACCTTTTGCTACTGAAGTCTTATTTTCCACTGTAAAGGGTGTTTTCATCGAACTGTCTTTTTTACTTAAAAAAAAAGCTTTATCAGATTGGTCTTCAATGAGTGAAGTTTCTTTTGAAGTGACTGATTTTGTTCCTTTCCCTTGTGGAACTACAAAACTTGGTTTAATATCGTGAATCACAGAGGACCTGAAAACTTTGAAATGAGATGAGTGAGTAACTGTATAAGGGTTAGCTAATAAGGTCATAAAGGAACTCTGTTTTGATGGAACTGGATGACTGTCGACAAGTTTTGTCTTTTTCTTGTTTAAAGACGAAATTGTATGAGACATAATACTGGTAGGACTTGATATTTTTCTCAAAATCTTTGATCTTGGAGTTTCTGTAGTGGAAGAAAGAGAAATAAATTTTGGTAAGTCCTTATACGAGATAACTGGTCCATCTAGAGGATTTTTATTGGAAAGATTGTTTTGGGAGTGGAGAGAAGGTGAAAATACACCGCTCATTATTTTTAACGTGAAAGACGTTTTCTCATTATTTGACACACTTTTGTTATTCTCTTTGGTTAATTTTTTTCTCCTTGCTCGAGTACTGTTCAATAACTTCATGAATGTTTTCTTAGGAAAATTATTTTCGGCTGTAATGAACGAACTAGAAATTACAACGGGAGATGCTTCAACAGAATTATCCTGGAGAGGTGTCTTAGTTTTCGAATCATGTACAGCTCTAAGTTCAGGCGTTGTTTTAGCACTTGGGGAAATGAGTAAAACGGGAGTAGGACGAACAAAATGGGAATTTTCTAGAGACTTAGTTTTTGTCAAGCGTTGTTTTTGTGCACTAAATAATTTCGAACTGCTTTGTCCTGGATCTAAATAAGTCAAATAAACGTTATTTGATATTATAACGTCAGAGTCTTGTTGAAACCAAGAAGAAGAAGTCCTCCATATTTCAAAAGCTGTAGATGTTCTATAGGGTGTATCTTTTACAGGTGTAGTGTCTCTAAATTTCGTATAAAGTTCGTAACTTGGATCAGGTAGAGATCTGGTGCTAGGTACACTGGGACTGTTAAACGACGGTTGGAGTGCTGAACTAATTTCTGAAGACATTGAAGACTTTTGGTGTGATCTCAAATCTTCATCACTGTTTGGAATTTTGTCCATTTTCTCATTGGCAGATATTATTAAGAAGAAAACTGTTGATTACAGAATAAAAAAAGTTGAATGTTAGTATATAAAAAAGGACATTCTATTTCTCAAAGCAGTATTACTTTTATAAATATGAAATTATAACATGCCTTATTTCCCCCAAAGGGGTAGAAGACCGCCTGAAGGTGTCACCTGTTTTAACCACTCGCACCACTATACAGCAGTGTGTTGTCTGTCAGTCAGTCAGTAGACACTAAAATGACGTCACATAAGGGATGCTCAACGTTGCAATTTGTACTGCTGTGACGTCAGTAAAAGGTGCACATGCCATGAATCACGAGAAAAATTATGCATTCTGTAGGCTACAACACAGAAGCAAGAAATAAAAATATTTGTTACTCTTAGTTTTGGTTTTATTTACTCTTGAAACAGAACAGTTTCAGGATCCCTGAGGAAGTACATCTAGTTATAATGATATGTCTGTCTTGTTATATTTTAGGATGCACGCATAACCCTTACTTAAGAAAATGGACAGTCCGTTCGAATTTATAAGTTGTTTTAATAACATTCTTCTTCTTTTGATGTTTGGATTCCAGAGAAGTTTACATTTCAACCTGATAAAAATGCGCATGGTGAAAATGTGACTAATGCTGTTCGGATAGAGAGATTACTGCTTACTTCATTATGCCAGTCATTAAATGTGAAGCTAAACCCATTGGTATAGTGAAAAGCAAACACTTAAAATTATCCACACTTGGACATCCACTCTGTTAAGAATATTTTGTTTTTTACCTGCTTTAGTGAAATATAGATTTAAAAAAAAATTCAGCTATTTAGTTTCCGTGCTGAAATGGTGGTAAGACATGGTCCAGAAAGTCATTGAGATTACTTTGTCCTAATTGTTTTGTCTCTTTGTTCTCTACAATAAATAATGTCTATTATGCCCTAGAGGATAGTGCAGTAGCATCTAGCATTTGAATTGAAAGAATTAATATTATTTGCTGGTCACCTTGACAATTATTAAATGTAACAGCCAACTAATGCTGTGACAGAACAAAGGTCACGAAGTGACGTTGTCGACTGGACAGAAAAAGCGAGTTTACCTGTTAAATTCAGGCGCACTTTCTTTAACCAGTTCTACTAAAGTAACTAAAAAAGCGTAGTAGTTTCTCTAAATTCTGTTACTGAGAGTATGAATTTAAGGCAAGCTTTCCATTACATATAAAAAATAAACTTAATTATTAAGGCTCTTGGACTAAATATTTTAATTATTTTTTAATGCTACTAGATTTATGCTTTCCTGGGGTTTAATTTAGGCAATTAGTCTAATTGGGTTAAATTTTGGTAATTCTGTTTAGTAATTTAGAGTGGCATTTTACTTTCTAGTTTATTATTTGTTACCATCGGAACTTTTTTTCTAGTGGAACGGTGAACCGGTACCTTTTAATGAATGGTCAACAAAAATAAATATAACATTACACAAACAAAAATCGCTTCTTCTTATAACATCAAATGGTTTTAGTTATGTAATTTACTGTACATATAGTACTCATATCATCAAATGTGTTACTGTTCACTAAGTACCATTAAAGAAATGAAACATTGCTATTTTATTGTTTGTTTGTTACATGAAAAAGTTTTAAACATCATAAGAAGGTTTGTTTGTTTGTAAGACTAGAGGGAAGGCAGCTAGTCATTACCACCCACCGCCAACTCTTGGGCTACTTTTTTACCAAGGAATAGTGGGATTGACCGTCACATTATAACGCCCCCATGGCTGAAAGACAGAGCATGTTTGGTGGGACGGGGATTCGATCATAAGAAAGACTTTTGGATTGGGGTAGGATAGAGTGACAACTGGGAAAGATTGTGTAAAATATAGGAAAATTCCAGAATATTTGTTTTTCGGAAAAAAAGCATTGGTTCCCATGATTTTCTAGTGTTCACTGAAGTATTACCAGTGGTAAATATCAGTATGTAATTATTTTGTATGTTAATAAACAATGATAGGATTTGTAAAAAAAATCTATTTGAGGCTATTCGAATTCAATGCAAGTACACTAAATTTGAGTCCTCCGGAGGTTCAGCGCTAAAGTTCCGGACTTACAACGCTAAAATCCAGGATTCGATTCCCGCGGTGGACATGATGCATGTAGATCATTGTGTAGCTTGACGATAAAACGACAACAAAAGTAAACTTGAAACAGTATCTTATTTCAAAATATCCCAATAATTTCAATTACCACAACATTTTATCTTACGATTATTGTTTTTGATATTTCCAATGTCGTTTCAACCCTACGTGAACGTATAGATAGTATTATTTGTTAATTTAATTGTGTAACTTTCTCCACAATTTTCTGTAATATACCTCTGCTTGGTACGCATCATGATAACACTTGTATTCCACAGTGATAAAACTCGCATGTATAAAATATTTGCCATTGTTCTATTGTTCGTTCTTGCCACTGTTTCAAAATACCAATTAAGAGATGTATGAAATCATAGGAAAATTAGCGACAAATAATTTGATTTGAAAGTGCGGGCCCGGTATGGCCAAGGTGGATAAGGAGCTCGACTCGCAATCTGAGGGTCGCGGGTTCGAATCTCCGTCCTATCAAACATGCTCGCCCTTTCA